GTGATCACAAGTTCAAAGAAATGTTTTTCTTCTTCAATACCTGCTTCTTTAATAAAATTGTAGTCCCTTGTGTACTTGCAAGATATTCTGTGCAAAGATCCCTGTGCTATTTCTTCTCAATGTGGAGGTTCTTTATAACAAAAAGATGCCATATTGATGTAACTCAGAGATATGTCTTGTGCTGTGCACACCAGTGTCTCATTGTGTGAAGGTAGGTAGAAAATCCATAACTGTAATTCCAGATGTGTGCTCTATGGTAATGAACTGTATAACTGTTAATAGAATTCTCACTAGGTAAGTGAGGGGAGAAAAACACAAGGAAGACAAATGTATTTATATCCGCTTAGCTGATTCATGTCTTCTCTCTAATCTCACTAAAAACACAAAAAGAACTTCTTTGCATTTTGTTTCAGTTTAACATTTCCTAAAATTAAGATGATAGAGTGTATAGATGGGTAGGTGCCAGATACCAAGACACATAAAATAAAGAGGAAGCTTCCAAACTGCATTTTGTGGAAAAAGAACAGAAAGGCCAACATGTAGTGGGAGAAGTAGAGGATGAGGAAGGACAGGATAGACAGCATTGCCTTGACAGGGATGCACCTGCGGGGGTCCTGGGTTCCTGTAGCACTGGTTCTCATCTGTTGAGCATGTCTCGCTAGGGAGAAAATCAAAAGCAGAACAGCAATTATGAAGATAATTGATGGTACTGTCAGGTGCAAAATCAAAAGTGAATATGGTATAGTGTCTATTTCTTTGTTTTGAGTTGAATTACTGGTGAACAGTTTAAACAATGGATTTGCCTTACTAGCCCACACATATTTTTCTTGGATGCCACAGCTGATAGACGCATACAGTGTTGACCCCAGGATCAGCCACGGCACCATCTTGGAAATCCTCATCTTCAGCCAGAAGAACAGTGGGTGAGAGACAGTAGTGATCTTGGCGCAGTAGAAAACACCCAGCCACGTGGCTAACCAAAGCCCCCAAATAGTTAAAAACAAAAAACTTATATAATATTCAACAAATGCTGATTTTTTTATGAAGGAGAGAACCATCAAGTGCACAATGAACATGAGGAAGTGGAGAACAAACCGCGAAGATGCCAGGCAGCAAATGAGCAGATCCAGAGGAGCCATATGTCTCCGCCTGATGAAGTCGACAGCATTCACCACCAGGATAAAGCCATTTGCACAGACCCCAGTAAGGAACTGTGCCACTGCTATCAGGAAATGGACAATGAGCTGATGGGTTAGCATGCTGGGAGAAGGAAAGTCTGAGAACATGTATAAATTTCCGGGAAGCTTCTATTACTCAAATTCTGTTTTTCTTCAGCTAGCATGGGACTCCTTTGAGAAGATCCTAATCATGAAGTTAATAGAGTGGGAAGGAGTTATGCCTTTATTTATATCACTGTTTTCTCAATTTGATTCTAAGACATTCAAATAAGAAAGAGATAGTCTAACAATAATTTGCTTCTTGTTCATGCCTTTTGCATTTCCTAGTTTCTGTTAGCTTTCAGGGTTACCATAGGCAAATGACAGAACTGGATATCTTTAGATGAGTGCTGAATGTCTCCTGAGATGGAGAAACAGCTGGTACTCCTCAGTCTTCCCCCAATCGTGAATAAGTAGTTATGCACAGCTGAGATTCTACCTCACATTACCAGTGTATTCTTCAGAATATAGTGAAAGAAAGAAAAAAGAAAAGAAGAAAAAAACAAAGAAAGAAAGAAAGAAAGAAAGAAAGAAAGGAAGAAAGAAAGAAGAAAGAAAGAAGAAAGAAAGAAAGAAAGAAAGAAAGAAAGAAAGAAAGAAAGAAAGAAAGAAAGAAAGAAGAAAGAAAGAAAGAAAGAATGTTCATTTACACTTTTATTATGTCCCATGGTCAGCAGTGTATATCTCTCATCTTGTAATTTTCTAATATAAAAATACAGAAAATCAGAACCTCCTAGAGGGGGGCCTGCCCCTTAGCTCAGTCATTTAAGTACCTACTTCAACAAAGCAGTCAGGCTCAGGTTGCTGTGGTTCAATCCCCAGAACTCAAGCCAGCCAAACCAGCCCTGAAGTTATTCTGATCCAGCCAAAAAAAAGAAGGAAAAAAAAATAAGAAGAACCTCCTGAATTTTAAAGTAGATATAAAACAAATACAGGATACAACCCAAAGCATAATTGAATGCAAAAGCAAGGCAATAAGTGTTACAACTGGAGATATTAGAGCAACACCTCAGTATGAGGCTGAACAAGGACATTTACTTTGGGGAGTCATTTAGAAATTTAAGTGTTCATTATGTTACTATTCACGTTGTTGCACTACTCACATTTGACATGCCCAGATGTAGTATAGGGTCAGCATGGACTCCTCAGGCAGATCAAAGGCTCAGTCCCTCTGTAGAGGTGGAGAACAAAGGCTGAGGATTATCAGCACCAGTCTGTTTCCAAGCAACTTTGTGATTTCAATCTAAAAGCCTGTCACACCTGTGTATGTGTAAGTTATCCACCCCCAGATTTTGCTTCCTGTAGATAATATCCCTAAATAATCTGATCTGAAAAATCCCCTGTAGACCACAAAACTGATACCGTAGCCACAACCTCAATATCTACTCAATCAACAGTGGACCTTCAGAAGGGTGGAAATAGGAATGTATCTCAAAAAGTAGGGACAGAGCCCAAGACTTGGCATTGTTTCAGATCTAAGCATTCCCTCCCCCTTCCAGGGCTTGGCTTCCTACTATTTTTTTTTTTTTTTTCGGAATCAGGGATTGAATTCAGACCCTTGTGCTTGCCAGGGAAACGCTTATTCCACTGAGCCATCTCCCCGGCGCCTTCCTACTACATTTTACAATATATATGAACAAAATACTTTAGTTTAGTTCTGGTCTTTCGTGGCTCCTCTTCTTTCCATGTCACACACAGACCTGATGATTGAGGGTGCCTTGCTGATCCTTGAACCCACTGGAGCTAACAAGAGAATCTCTCAGAATTAGTCTTCTCAGGTGATGTCCTCCTTTCCCAATGAGAGACAGTGGAAAGCTCCTGGGTTGGGCACTGAAGAGCTCAGTGTCACACTGGAGTGTGCCAAGGTGTAGGGCTTCTCTCTGAAGTGCAAAGGGCTGTCCCTGCAGAGTTCTGTTCAAGAAGAGGCTGACTCCTGCCCCAAATTCTGTTCAAAGCTCTCTCTGGAAGGCAGGCTGATTTCAGCACAGCACTGACCTGGAATGCAGGGTGTGGAGAACAGTGGGAAAGAACAGAATATCTCCTGGCTTCGGTACTGATGAGGTTGAAGCCTGTCTCAAACTGTCACCCTACTGCCAACTGGAGGGTTACCTGGAACACATGGTTTCTGGGGCTACAGCTTCAGTCCAGGGCTGGGCAGCATCTCCTTCAGAGTAGTAGGAAAGAAACAGAAAGAGAACAGCTGTATCGTCTCAGTGCCTGTCCTTCTTCCCCCAAAGCCAACAGGGTTCATCATGGGTCCCATTCTGTTGATTCACTTCACTGTAAACACCTTCAGTGCTTCTCCCCTTAACAACAGGGGACATTAAGCTTTTTTCTTTGTCATATCCTCTAGCGAGGACTAACTTCCACACAGGAACCTCAGAAATATTAATGCCTTATGCAGTCCACAGCCATTGCCATTTGCCCTGCTCAAACCTTTGGCTCTATCCTTTTGTCCTTTGCCACTTTATTCTTTCCTTTTTTCTTCTTTTCCCCTTTGTTTCTTATCCATTCTTTGTTATTTTTCTTCCTACCTTACTTTCTTTGTTCCTTTCTCTTTGTTCTTGTTCTCTCTCTGTATTTCTCTCTCCCTGTGTGTCTCTATCTCTTTCTCACACCCAGAACACATTCCTTTTGCTTTCCATGATTCTAGGGATATAGCTGGAGCCTTTATTTTTAACTACATCTGAAGCCTCAAAATATTTTTTCTTGAAGTTATTGTTTCTGTGCATTAGTTGTTCAAGCTAGGCTCACACGTGCACCCCTCCTGCCTCAGCCTCCTAGAGTCCTGAAATTGTAGCTGTGTACTACTGTGCTTGGGTAGCAGGATCCATTAAAATCAGAGAGACGGATGCTGTGTCAGGATAGATAGAGGTCTAACTGCTTCTCAATAATAGAAGGACAAACACACCTGGGAAGGGCTGCTGAGTCCAGATAAAGACAGCACCACCCAGACAATATTGAGAGGCTTCCGCTTTTAATGTAAGAGCAACGAGTACTGCACACAACACCCAGCAGCACAATAGCTAAGCATTTTTATGAGAATGTTACTTCAAGGAAAGAAGGCAGTGTTTATGTTTTTTTTTTTTAATTTAATTTATTTATTTATTTGCGTGTGTGTGTGTGTGTGTGGCCAGCTCAGCCCACCAGGGGGCGGGGCTGGCTGGCATGTGGTGCTAGGGGATTGAACCGTGGTCTTTGTGCTTTCCTAAGCTTTTTCTAAGTAGGCGCTTTAGACCACTGAGCCATCTCACCAGCCCCAGTGTTTATGTTTTTACAATGCTTTATTTTACTTTGCAATTTTACTTTGTTACAAATTTTGGTAATATTACAAGTGTACAAACTTAGTCATAACTTCCTTTTTATGCTATTAATGAACACTTTTAGAGCAAAAATACATGAAACTGAATCACAATTTGGTATCTGAGAAAGAATATCTGTCCAGATGTTTGAAGCTGCTCCCAATCTCTCTGCAAACATGCAGAAAAACACATCTTGGGTTCACAGAACAAGTATTTGCTGAACTGCAGAAGTGAGAGGAATAGGGTTCTCTCATTCTCCCTCTCTCATTTCCACTCACATAGATGAAACCCAGAAACATTTGCTGCAGTTGACATGTCCACATCACCTTTTGTAAAGGTAATGAATGTGTATGATGCCTCACAATGTACAGGCTAAGAAGACAAGCATTTATGAACAGGTTCTTTACTGGGTGAGTAAAAGGAGACAGAGACATGCAAGACATTGATACCCTACATCCTTTCAACTGATACAAAAACACTCTCACTGATGGTACTGACCGCAGAACAAGTATTTCTTTGCATTTTGTTTAAGTTTAACATTTCCTAAAATTAAGATGACAGAGTGTATAGATGGATAGATGCCAGACAGAAAGGTGAAGAAACCAAAAATGAAGGTTCCAAACTGGAATACTGAAGAAAAGAACAAAACAGCCAACATGTAGTGGGAGAAGTGGAGGATGAGGAAGGACAGGATGGACAGCATTGCCTTGACAGGGGCGCCGCTGCGGGGGTCCCGGGTTCCTGTAGCAATGGTTCTCATCTTCTGGGCATGTCTCCCCAGCGACAAAATCAAGAGCAGAACAGTAATGAGGAAGATAATTAAAGGCAATGTCAGATGAAAAATTAGAATGCAAAGTGGTACAATGTTTACTTCCTTGGTTTTAGTTGCATTACTGGAGAAAATGTTCACCAAGTATTTTTGGGTCATGGTCCATGTATGTTTATCCTGGATGCCAGAACTGATAGAGGCATACAATGTCGACCCCAGGATCAGCCAGGGCACCAACTTGGAAATCCTCATTCTCAGCCAGAAGAAGAGGGGATGTGGGAAGGCGGCAATCTTGGCACAGTAGAAAACACCCAGCCACGTGGACAACCAATGTCCCCAAATATTTATAAAAACAAAAATTAGAGAAATCTCCTCAAGTACTGATGGATTCATGAGGGAAAAATGAACCAGATATGTAAGGAAGATGAGCAACTGGAGACAAATCCGAGAAGACACCAGGCAGCAAATGATCAGATCCAAAGGAGCTATTCTTCTCTGCCTGATGAAGTCCACAGCATTCACCACGATGATGAAGCCATTTATCAAGATCCCAGTAAGCAGTTGTGTCACTGCTATAAGGAAACTGACAATGAACTGATGGGTTAACATTCTGGAAGGAGAAAAATGTGAGATGTATAGAATTTCAGGAAGCTTGTATTATTCAAACTCTGCTGTTCTTCAGCTAGGACAGGACTTCTTTGAGGAGAAAGATTCTAATCATGAAGTTAATGGAGCAGGAAGGAGTTGTTCCTTTATTTGTATCATTGTTCTCTCAATTTAGTTCTGAGACATTCAAATAAGAAAGAGATAGCCCAGCAATAATTTGCTCCCTGCTCATGGCTTTTGCATTTCCTAGTTCTTCTTAGCTTTCAAGGTCACCATACAAATAATGGAATTGGATATCTTCAGATGACCGCTGAAGGTCTCAAATGGAGAGCCAGTTAGCACAGCTCAGTCTTCAACTTCACCACGAATAAATAATTGTGCCACAGCTGAGATTCTACTTCACATCATCAAAGTATTCTTCAAAAAATGCTTTTCAAAACATGATCACTTCCACTTTCACTATGTCCCATGGTCAGCAATGTATGTCTCCTATCTATTAATTGTCTAACATGCAAAGACTGAGAAAACTGAGAACCTCACAAACTTCCTGCCTGCGTTGAGCTTTGGGATTGATTTGCTGTCCTTTTTTCTAGTAGATTGTAGTGCAGCAAAAGACTGTTTAGTTGGGCTCATTTTGTTTTTCAAATGTGAAAATGTAGTGCTAAAAATTTCCCAAAAGATTTTTGAATCTAAAAAAGACTCTCCAGAAGATTTTTCAATCTAGCAGTTAATTGGAGAAATTCTCACCCTGACTAACTATATGTACTGATACCTGTGAAATAAGCAACTGCGCTGCAGATAGTAATCTGCAATAGTAGTTTCATGTTTGGAGTGCCTGTCATTCTGGTCTTCTGAATACAGGCTGCTTGTCTTGACATGCCAGTTGCTGCTATGTGGTCTCTTGGGTAGATTGTTGTTCAAAAAGAATGGGATGCTGAATGAAAGCAAGGGACAGGAAAAGGAATATTGTGGGACTGTCCTGCTTCAAGGTTGTATATGGTTAGATTTTTGAACTTATGTGTAAACATAAGAAGCATATAATTCTTTATGCCTATTTTTAAAATATATTCTAATTTTTAAATGGTTTTTTCATCATATTATGTAGGGACTTAAAGATCAACATATCAATAGTTCTTGAAAAATACATGTTATGGGGCTCGTGAGATGGCTCAGTGGTCTAAAGCGCCTACTTAGAACAAACTTAGCAAACACAGGGACCACGGTTCAATCCCCCAGCACCACATGCCAGCCAGCCCCGCCCCCTGGTGGGCTGAGCTGGCCACACACACACACACACACACACACACACATAAATAAATAAAAATAAATAAATTTTTTAAAAAAAGAAAAATACGTTTCATGTTATGCCTAAGATGTTTGATATTCAGACAGATAGTGAGGTCAAGCTAAACAGCCTAGGTTGCATAGTAATACAAAAAGCTTCTCTTTTAGAGGGTTAACAACCTAAGTTTGCAGACCAAAATAGAGAAAAAGGAGGGCTGAAAAGAAAGCCAACATTTTGGCCCTAGCCTTCCAAGGTCAATTAAGACTCAGGACATATGAGAACTTGTACTGTTACGTCATGTAACTTGGTAGTGTCCCAAATTTTCTGATCAAGGAGATTTATGGGGCCAAAGAGAAACATGATCGATGATGTAGAGTGTGCCTAAGGTGAGTCACGTGGAGAGAAAACATTCTCTCAAGATTTCACAGAGAGCACATTGGCCAAGCAATGGCCATGACTCATCCACATGGCTGACACTGACAAAGGATCTACAATCTGAGGTACAGGATCTCAGGATAAATCCTGAGGGGATTTCACTGACTTTATCAGACCCAAAAGCTACAACTCTTGTTGCATAGGTCTTGCTTTACCTTGGTGTTAACCATCCAGCAGAAAAGTATAAAAACAAAATAGAAGATGTAAAGCCATGCTGTTATGCTAAGCTGTAGGGGTCTCAGGTCAATAATTTCTGACATTGCCAGTCAAGCGGAAGACCCAATACTATTATGGGCTACTGGACTCTTTTAGAATATTTTGCTGGATTTACACACCTGTAATATTCAAATAATGGAATTTAACAAAAAAAAGAGGATACAGATGAATGCCCATTTTGTGTCTGTGTATTCAAAGTGGTTAGGATAGGTATATAGTTACATTCTCTTAATGAATAGAGGGATTTGTTCTAAGGATGTTTGTAAATAGAGTATCATGTCCTCATCTTGTACAGCAACTAACCACTAGGAAGAATGTATGCAATGTGTTAATTATTGAAACTGTCCTACCAATTTGATTTAAAACTGTCTCATTGCTATTTGTTTCTCAATAAAATTATGAGAGAAAAATAAAATAAAATAACAATGAAATTATTTTTAAAAAGACAACTTGCATAGTATCATGCAGGTTCTGGTGTGTTGAACCTGCATTTCTTTTTATTTTAAGTATCATTTATTTTGTTCTTCAATTTAATCTGTGACACACTGGTTGTTGGGAGGTTGTGATTTAATTTTCTTGTCTGTTTGAAGTTTTGTGATTTCTTTTGTCAATAATTTTGAGTTTGGTCATTTCCAGCCAGAGCTCAGGACCAGAGTTGGTCACCAGATCCCTTTCCAGCCAGAGGCTAGGCGAAGAGTGTGTGTGGGACTTACTGCCTGTTGACTGGATCCCTTTCCAGCAAGCGCACAGGACTGACATTGTGTGGGACCCTCCACACAGTCACAGAAACCTCCTTCATAAGGCAGACTTGGTGTCAAACCACGTGGCAGAACTCCCTGCAGAGAAGTTAGGGGCCAGACCCACCCAGCTAATCCAGGAGGGAACCATATAGCCAGAGGGGCACAGTGGGGTCACTTCCGCTGGCTGCAGTAAAAAGACGTGTAGCACAACAACCAGACGCAAATATGGACGACTTCAAACTTGGCAGATCCAGACCCAAGAAACTGAGAAACTTAGCCAAACTCAGACCTATGAGAGTATACGCTTTCTCACTTGATTGAGAGAGGAGCCAACAGGTAACCAGGCTGAACTAGTTTGACTGGAACCCCCCACGTACATCAAGGTGAGGTGATCAGACAGAATTTAAGTGAACTAACTTAAATACAAATTCCCATTTTAATGTCTGCATAGCTAAACAAACATAACGTTAATTTTCATGGCCAAAAATACAAACCCATTAGTTACAAAAGTTTGTCAGTTGCTAAATATCACTACTCATTGTTAGTGTTCCTAATTGTATTTCTGTAATACAAAACTATAACTGCCTCAAGCACATAACCTCTCTTGGGAAAGAATTTTGGTAAGTGCTGAGGTAATAACTGCACGGAAGTTCTAGACCAAAGGTCAGAGGACAGTGCTATACAAATTGTCAAACAGGAGCAAAATGCATTCTCAGGCCCCAAGCCCACCCAGAACAAACACAGAAGATATTAGCATAGAAGAAATTGGAAGACACATGAAATCTCTGAATTCATAGTTCCTGAAGTAAGGAAACACAGAATGTACAGAGGAAATCAGATCAGAAATAATCTCTGAAATAAAAAATGGAAATGGAAACCATAATGAAAGTATTACTAAATGATTTTAAAGAAGACACTGATAAAAAAAAAATGGGCAAGTGTAGTCCTTAAATGAACAATATAGGAAAAAACCAGAATGCATGAATCATATTCACAGTGATATACAAGAAATTAAAACTTCCATCACAAGCTGGCAAAAACGTTTGAATGATAGTCAAAATAGACTTTCAGACCTTAAAGACACCATTGTAGTTAGTGAAAAGGTAAGAAAAGATTTCTTGAAAACAACTAGGATTCAGGAAAAAAATTCAACGTATGCAAAACGATGCAAAGGTGAACAACCTAAGATTAATAGGCATCAATGAGAAAGAGGGAGTCAATACAAATGATATAAAAAGAATATGAAGAGAAGTAATAACAGAAAACTTCCCAAACATGGGAAAACAATCGGACAATCAGGTAAACAAAGCATATAGAATTCCAAATAAAATCAACCCAATTAAAAGCCTAGCCAGACATGTAATAGTCACGGTCCCAGAAATTCAACGTAAGATCAATATACTAAAAGCCACTAGAGAAAAGAAACATATCAAATTTAAAGGAAAACCCATCAGAAAAATGGCAGATTTCTCTTCACAACCCAGCAAGTCAAGAAGAGCATGGACTAAAGTATGTCAAGTTCTCCAAGAAAAAATTCCAGCCCAGACTGCTGTACCCTGCAAATATCTCTTTCAAGTTTGAAGGAAAAATGAAAAACTTCCATGACAAAGAACAAATAAAGAATTTCATGATGACAAAGCCAACACACACAACTGAACGGTATTCTATATTCTATATTTTCTATACTCTATGTTCTATAGAGGGACCAACGTGACCACCACAACTCCATGAATGAGAACAGAAAGAACCTACAGAATAAGGCCAACAATTAAACACAGGAGAAAAAAGGGTAAACAACAGCAAGCAAGTTACATGTAAATCATAAAGCGATGCATCTCCATTATAATCATCAGTGTATAGGGACTCAGCTCTCCAATTAAAAGACATAGATTAGCACAGTGGATACGAACCAAAATCCAACAATGTTCTGTATTCAAGAAACACACTTAACACATAAAAAAGATTCATAGCCTGAAACTCAAAGGATGGAAAATAATACTACATGCCCCAGCACCTCAGAAAAGGGCAGGGATAGCAATCTTATTTGCAGACAGTCTGAACATCAAAGGAAGAATGATCAAATAAAATAAAGAGGGCCACAAAATACTACTTAGGGAACTATTCAAGAAGAGGAGGTAGCAGTCATAAATATATACTCACCAAACACAGGAGCACATAACTATACAAGAAAAATATTAATGTACATGAAAAAAAACTATTATTTAATACCACAGACTTAACAGGAGACATTAACACCCTCTTATCCTGAACAGATAGGTCAAGCAGCAAAACATTAACAAAGAAGTAGCAGAACTGAGCCAGAACTT